GGCCCATCAACTATCACCTCCCATCACTCACCTTCAGTCCATGGAACAGAAGGGTAGAGATTGAGAAATGGATTTGCTTTGCTGGGAAATTATAGGAGTAAAGGAAGTAATGGAAAGAGGTGCTTCCTCATCTCACTCCCAACAAAATAAGTGAGGGGGCAACGAGAAAACCCCTCAGAAAATTTGGAGGTAACTGTATAAAAGGAGACTGACATCCCATGTCGTACCTGTTTGCTTGGTGATCTGGAGATGCCAGGCTGGTTGGGGGATCTGTACGGCTGGTAAGGAGAAATGGAACAGTGGGAACAGGCTGCACTTCTATCATTTGGAGGGGCAAGAGTTTGGTAATTCTAGTGAGCCAAGCAGATGCTCTAGAAGGAAGCTGGACGAAAGCCACCTTAAGCTGACATCATCAAAGAAGTCTACCAGCTGGCTAAGGAGGCTCCAGAGTTGTGCTCCCTGAGGTCAAAGGGTCTCAGGAAGTCAACGGAAAAATAAATCTCCTATACCAGTGATTGGTGCAGTAAGGAGCCCCCTGAAAACTCCACAGAAGTGGCCCACAAAGAGCCCCAACCGCCAGATTACACCAGATACAGGCCTTTGTTTTAACAAAGTCCTTCCCTTCCCTTTGTCCCAGAGACGGAGAACCAGAAGAATGTGGAATCCTGCACACTGTAGGGCCCTCGCCAGGGCTGAGCCCTGCGGGGCCGGGAAGAAGAAAGCGCTGATTAACATCAGATGGTGCATGTTAGCCCCTGACAAAGAGGGTGTTTTAACATCCAGAAGTGACCAGAAAGCCATCAGCCAGAAAACTGAGATGTCATCAAATCGTGGACATTCTGACAACACCAACAGGGTGTATTTGAAGGTAGCTGTAGGAGAAGAAAGAAAGTTGTTTTCTGATTGCACCCTGCTGAGCTATGCCTAGTCAATGGCCTGACTGCCTATGACATCTTGTCTCTCAATCCCACTGAGTTAGACGGCAGTATACTAGCCTCCTTTGTAAAGTGAGGAAAGCAAGGCTCAGGGAAGTTAAGTAACATGTGCGATGCCCAGCAGCTTGTGTATGAGGGTCATGGGTTCAGATCAAGGCCCTCTGACTCCAGATGCGATGACATCTCCACTGCACCTCACTGCCTCTGACGACTAATGTGCCCACAGACCTGGCCATGGGCACACCTAGAATCATGGGGGGTAGGGTGGGAGTGGGGTTGTGGTTCATCTAACCTGTCTTCTCTAATTCAAAGGCGGTGTTCTAGAGGTCACAGCTGAGGATTCCCTCACCTCTTGCTTTCCCTATGTTGATGGAAGAAGCATTTTCTTTATCCACATAATGCTTTGGTACCTAGGGCCATAGGCGTAGCCCATGCCCCTACCAAGTGTTGGCTTTTCTTTGACATACATTTATGACAGCTTCCCGTCATCACCATGAGCATCAGGAGCCAACCAAGAGGCTCCTCCTGCCTCTGCAGGAAAGGATCAAGCACAGTCAGCAGTTAAGATTTTTAGGCACCTACATATGACCCAGCAATCCCACTCCTGGGCGTATATCCAGACAAAACTATAATTCAAAAAGATACATGCATCCCAATGTTCACAGTAGCACTATTCACAACAGCCAAGACATGAAAACAACCTACATGTCCCTCGACAGATGAATGGATAAAGAAGATGTGGTACATATATACGATGGAATACTACTCAGTAATAAAAAGGAACAAAATAATGCCATTTGCAGCAACATGGATGGAACCAGAGATTATCATACTAAGTGAAGTAAGTCAGAAAGAGAAAGACAAATACCATATGATGTCACTTACATGTGGAATCTAAAATATGACACAAATGAACTTATCTATGGAACAGAACCAGACTCACAGACATAGAGAACAGACCTGTGACTGCCAGTGGGGTGGGGGGAGAGTGGGGGAGGGATGGATTGGGATTAGTGGATGCAAACTATTATATATAAAATTTATAAATAACAAAGTCCTACTGTATAGCACAGCAAACTATATTCAATATCTTGTGATAAACCATAATGGAAAAGAATATAAAAAAGAATATATATATATGTATGTGTGTGTGTGTGTGTGTGTGTGTGTGTGTGTGTGTGTATAAAATTGAATCACTTTGCTGTACAGCAGAACTTAACACATTGTAAATCAACTGTAATTTAAAAAAAGATTTTTAGGCATCTAGCTGAAGAGGAGGAAAAGCTTGCATTTGTTTTTTTTGAATGCACACAAATGAGTGATTTCATCAGCAGAAACAAAACAAAATAAAACAAAACCATCCCAACTTTGCCTTCAAAGCAGGTCCCTACCTCAGCATGGCACCAAATCCCTTCCTCTTTATTTTCCTTTCTGGATCTTCATTTCCCTCTTTCTGCTTTTTCACCTTGACTTTGAATTTGCCCTTTTCCTTCTTCTTCTCCTTTTCTTTCGGTTTTTTGACTTTCCTGGCTTTATTTTCTGCATTCTCTAGCTCAGAGTTCCCCTGAGGGGCAGATTCATAATTCAGAGCTCCTTGGCCAGAGTGAGAGCTCTTATCAGACAGACCATCTGTACAGAGAAAAAAAATCAATACACATGGTCAGGGGCACTTACTGTTAGTATCTCAAGAAAAGTTAAAATGTAAAATACAGAATAATGAATAAAGGCACTCCGGAGTTCTACCCTGCCACGAGGCTACGCGTACCCTTTGAAGAGACAACTGCCTAAATCTGGTTACTTCAAGCAAGGTTTGCTGCTGGGAGTGGGGGACATTGGTTGCTTAGCCAGTAGTATAAAAGGTTTGATATGTGATGAAACACTGATCTCTCTCAAAGCAGCTTGTTAACCTTGATCAGCTCAGAATGCCGATGTGCTGGGAAACAAACAGGGTGAGTTTATTTCCAGGAGAAGTTTTTGAGTTCAGCTATAACCGGACTGCTTCTACCCAATTAAAGCAGTCAGTCCTCGTGTTGAGGCTGCATCTAATGACTTGAATAATAATGTCAAGAGATGCATACTTAGTGCTCCTGCCCTAAGGGTAAATGACAGTTGGTCCTTGTAGGAAACTGAAGGAGAACATTTCTTTGGCGGTTGCACTGTAAAATAAATCACCTGTTGCGTTATCTAGTTCCTTGTTCGTTAAGCCAAAGGGCAAAACATATCAGGGAAATGAATTACTTTTACTATCAAAAATATAATTGTGACCTTAAATCACTTTTCTCTGTACTTAAGCACCCACTCTTGCCTATGATTCGCAGATAATAAGGAGAGGAAGAAACCATTTCAGCAAGCTCGTTGCCCTACCAGCTTCTAATTCTTCGGGTCCATCGTAAGATTTGTCAATGGCTGCTCGGAAGCTCTCGTTGCAGCCTCGGCCACGGACCACGTGCGGCCGGGGCCGGTGGAAGGGAAGTTCGTTCTTCCTGACCTCGGCAACTGCAGTCTGCAGGCTCTCCAAGGAGCTGGACTTTTTCAAACCCAGAGTTGGACCGAAATCTTTGCTTGGAGAGTCTGGAAGAAAAAAGGGCAAAAGGTCACCCTTCCCCTAATGAGGCAGTGGGGTGGAGTGGGAAGGCTTGTTGTGGTTCTATCTCAAAAAGGGAGGAGGGGGGTTAAATGGGTGGAACTTGGTGTTAAACCCCAGCGTTGCCGCTTTTTGTGACTTTGAGCAAGTACTTTGACTTCTCTGAGCCTTCGTTTCCTTTTCTATAAAGTTGTGGGAAGATTTTAAATGATATGTCATATATAGAAATAAATATGCATACGTATATATATACATGCACACGTGCACACACATATACATGACTTTGAAAGGCTATAGCAGTCTGCAGAGATTATATGTATGAGCGTGTGTACATGCACACACACACAGTTGCACACACATACAGAGCACCTAACAGTGTTTCTCTCACAGTTCTCATTCCAAGCACTCCCCTACATTGTAGCTTTTATTATCTCCAACATTGTTTTTATAATTATTAAGTAATGTATTATGCACAGAAATCAAAGAGCATTGAAGTGATTGTAATTTTTATGGTTAAACACTTTACCATACTCTAGCACTCTTACTGTAGGGTGAACGCAATTTTTTTAGTTGACAAAGCAAAGCAAGAAAGAAAACAACTTTTCTGTGTCAGTGCTTACTGTTCCAAATGTATTTCTATTTGGGTACCTAGGAAAGAGGTAGTTTTCTTTATATGATATAATATTCCGAAAGAAAAACTAGGTGAAGTTGAATAATGTGTGTTCAGATATGTAATATTTTTCATTTGCACTGTTTGTCTTGCCCTGTCACCTGCCCCTTTTCACCCATGCCTTGACCCCCATTCCCACCCACAGCCAGGCCCCTAGTTGTCTGTAACGAGATTAGGCTATATAAATACCAGCAGCACAAGGATTATTTTAAAGATGGAGGGAATTCTAGCAGGGCTCTTTTCCACCAGGGCCAAAGCTCATGATCCTGTCCAGTTACAAAGATTACTGCCATGAAGGGGTTATACGTGCATTTCTGGAAATAAACTACTTTGCAGTTTTTTAGTAGATACAGATTGAGTACATATTAAGGATTGTGTACATATAGTACCTACTTCAATGCCTAGCATATAGTAAGGCTCAGTAAACAGCCCTATCTTTTCTTACTATGATCAGTATTTTTGCTTCTACTAATGCTGCCATCATGAACATTATCACTAGGTAATACAAGGAATACAAAAGAAGTACAGCAAAGGTATAATGACTATATAGACACGCATGAAGTTAAAAAAACAAAACAACAAAACACACCCTCCCATATATTGTGAATATGTTAAAAATAGTCAAAATAATGACAATAATGCTAATAACTAATAATGCAGAGAGTGCTTAGCCCTGTTCTAAGCGCTTTACCTAACTTACCATAATCCTTACAGTTGTGCTACTGCCAAAATTGTTCCCATTTTACAAATGAGGAAACTGAGGCACTGAGCAGATAAATACCTAGTCTAAAGATACACACTTAATAAGCTTCAGAGCTGGGAACTGTCCTCAGGCAGCCTAATTCCGCCTTTTCTGCTCTGTATTGTCTAAAGTTGTACTTGATCTCCACCCTCTACTTGACTATGGTCAAGCTACTTAAAATGGCCTCTAGTTTCCTCATCTCTAAAATAAGACCCTGAGCCTAATCAAGCGGACAAAATGCAAAAACTGGATGTTGTTTTACAGTTTCATCATTAACTTACAGGAGGCAATTTTGCACTTTGAACAATATACATGACGACAATAAACATTACATTTTTTTTTTTGCGGTACGCGGGCCTCTCACTGTTGTGGCCTCTCCCGTTGCGGAGCACAGGCTCCGGACGCGCAGGCTCAGTGGCCATGGCTCACGGGCCCAGCTGCTCCGCGGCATGTGGGATCTTCCCGGACCGGGTCACGAACCCGTGTCCCCTGCATCGGCAGGCGGACCCTCAACCACTGCGCCACCAGGGAAGCCCAACATTACATTTTACGGGCAACAGTGCATCATTAATAAATGCAACAGAGATGGGACTAACTAAGCAAAAAAAAAAAAAAAATTATAAGAAATTTCAGGGACAAATTTCAGGTGCTACTTGCAAATCATAAATAGTAAGAATACATCATTACTAAATCCAGAAAGAGGCATGTTTCTTATAGTCCCAGGAAGGAAGGTAAGTGGAAGAAACAGAAATTGAATAAGATCATTTCTGACAAGAAAACAAAAAGCAACATAGAGGCTCGGGGTATTAAGGCAACAGTAAAAGCTTTGGAGTTCACAGAAAATATTTTACACCATCACTCCCTAGGGATCTGACATGAAGTTTGGTGAAAACAGGAAGATGAAAACTATCTGAGAAAGCCTAGTTCCTCTGTCAACAATAGTAACCATCTTTTATTTATTAATTGCCATTCAGGAGATTATATTAGAGCCCAAACTGTAAGTATTCACGTCAACCTTTAGCAATAAATTCTGGGGAACATGAAAGTGAATAAATCATCCAAGACATAAGGCATGTTATGTAAAAGGAGCTCATCTAAAGCTCAGCAAGAAGTCATATTTGAGAAGGAACAAATACACTGTTACTCATTCAAAGCAAACTGAACATTAAGGATTCATGGATTTTGCAGGATTAATAGAGCCAGCAAGTAATTCACTTTATATAAATAGAAGTCACAAATTAGAAGTGTCAACTAATGTTGGCCAAAATTATAACCTAGCTCTACTGGATTCAGTACATAGTAACACTAAAAGCAGAAAGGCGATTGAGTCTTGGTTACAAACGTGGGCTCAGGGATTTTCAGGCTTGAAAACAACTTTCTTATATATTTCTAGGGAGTAAACAGGATATAGTGGTGGAAAAATAAAGACTGATGTTAGAGAGGAGAATCTGAAATCAGGAAAGTCCTTACCAGGACTTACAGGTGCACTGAACTGACTGAATTGAATCTCCACATGAAAAGGACCTTGACTAGAGTTCACATTTCCTTTACATGTCCAAGGCTTCTGAGGGAAGGTCCAGGTTACTGGTTCCGAGGGACTGTTATGTCAACTGATGGCATCAGCACTAAATGTCAACAAAACGCTTGGAATAAAGCGTTTTACCACACAAAGATCCTAAGTGGGCACAATCAACTGTCACAGTCAGTCCCCCTTCCCTACCCCTATCCTCACCAGTTCCAGCTTAGGGTGCCATTGCGCTGGAAATTCTGTAGCTTTCAGAATGGGAAGATTCACTATTTTAGCCTAACCATTTATACAAATCATGTTGTTTTCTAGGCTCCCACTACAAGCAGAGGTCTCTCTGAAGGGATAATAGAAAGCTCTATCCTACTGAAGTCATCCCCAAGAGCGATGACTCCTCACATTTTCACCTGCAGCTGATGTGATATTGACCGTGGCTGATTTTAAGCAATTATCTGAGAGAGCAATCTTTGAATACCACGTGTTATCAGTCACAAGGTGGTCTGTGTCCAAATTTGAGCATTTACTTGTCCCATTTGGAGTATCTACAGAACTAATCTGAATATGATTTTTCAACAGCTTCCAGGCCAGTTTAGGTTAGTTGCAAATGCCAAGAAATAAATCTTTTCACAAACTTTACTAGCATGACTTTATTTTTTAAATTTATGACTTCTATGTTCAGTGACCATGTTCTCTAAGATCCAGATAAACTTATCTTCCTGTCAGAAACATGAAGTTGACATTCACAAATTTCTTGAAACAAATGATACAACGTTTATCAAAGGTACTAAAAGAGGGATCTTGCATGATAAAAGTTATCCTCAAAATGGTATAATGAAAATGTTCTTAACGTTCCACGTGCCAAATTTCTCCTTAAAGTAAAAGTCTCATAAAGAAACATCACAGAAATAATTGTTTTAAAAGATGCTACAGCATTTTTGAAGATTCGCCTGTTCCCAAATGAAGGATTGGCTTGACGTGGTCCTGGAAGCCTTCCCCATACAGAGTCGAGGGAAATTTCAACCCTCAGACACATCTACTGCTCCCCACCATCCAGAAGAAACTGAACACTCAAGTCTAAAGACTTAAAGGATTCTGCCACCATTTCTCCCATGTGCATGAAACAAGTGGGGAGAAGGGCAGTACAGAGCTACTGTCAAGGTGGAGAGGGACCTCTATAAAACAGAGTCAAACCACTGAGAAACCACTGCCCCAGCCTTTCTAGGTAGAAAGTCCCATTTCAACAGACTATAAAACAAAAGGTCCCTCCCGGAGGATTGTTTGGATGTGGACCTCAGTTTTTCTGACCCAGTCTTGGGTTCCTGCCTCTGCCCTATAGCTGAGAACTGCTGTTGGTTCCCTGCAAGGCAGGTGATTAGAATAATAGAGAACAAAACGGTCTAGAGAGTAGTGATTAATAGTGAATGGTGAATAGTGAATGGTCTAGTGATTAATAGTGAAGTGGAGAGACTGTGGGACATCTAACACCCTCCCACTCTGCCACTTATTTCTTGAGTTATTAACCTTCCTGTGCTTTCCACTTCCTAATCTGTAAAATTTGGATAAGACGAGGATGGAAGAGCGTCTGGCATGTAATAGGGACTCATAAAGCATTAGTGATGATTGTTGTCACTGGTGCTTTTGTATCAACTCTAAACATTTGAGTAAGCGAAGGTCTAGCACACTTTATTTGGTTCAATCTGCCACTGCATTTTAAAATACAACTATTCCTTCTGCAAGAAGCTGAAAAGGGCTCTATAAATAAATACCATCCTTCCTTTTTTATTCAAAAGTTAAACTGACTTTTTTTTCCCCAGACAACTCCTTACAGCTTTTTCTTCTGAAATAAGGTATATATATCCATCTGTTCATCACATACAGAGGCTATTCTTGGGAAGATTAATAGTGGAGTCTTGGATGCCCTTCCCCTTAGGTTATAATCATTTAATTAGTCTGAGATTTCATTGGCAATGTTTGAACTTCCCATTCTAGCATTAAAATCTTGCAATAAAAGAATGCCTTAATCCAGAAGACCAGTAATTGGATCATCCAT